AGAGATTAAATTAGTTTTAGAGATTATGTTAGGTTTAGAGATTGAATTAGTTTTAAAGATTAAGTTAGATTTAGAGATTACATTAGTTTTTAGAGATTAGGTTAGGTTTAGAGAATAAATTAGTTTTAGAGATTAAGTTAGGTTTAGAGATTAAATTAGTTTTAAAGATTAAGTTAGGTTTAGAGATTAAATTAGTTTTAGAGATTAGGTTAGGTTTTGTTCTTCTAGGCAGATGATAGTTGATGGTAAACTACCCACCAACTACAACTATACAGATGTCCCGCAGTTAAATGGATATTTTGTCAATTCAACTCATGTTCAGGAATTCATGGAACAAATGCATAAAAAATACTTAAGTTTGATTTTCAGAAATGTGAGTAGAACATGTTGAAAAAAAACTTTTTTTTGCAAGGATGTTCAAAAATAAGTTATAATTAAAAAAGGCTTTTTATAAAAGGACTGTTTGAAAAATGTCCATCTCTCCCAGTTTTATGATCAATGCATGACAATATTGTTTTTTTTTCTCTGAATATTAATTTTCTCCGAGAGCAAGTGTTCTTGCAAATAAAAAAAATTACATTTAAAGAAATTGAGTTTTTTTTCTAAAGCTCTGATTTTCTTATTTCTGTATCTCTGCAAGCCAATATCGTAGACCTGTGCAAGTTCAACCTATGCATTCTGTTAAATTTAACAATCTAAGTTGAAGTATGAAAGCTTTACACCATCAGGTTGATTTAGGGATTTCAAAATGAACTGAAAACATGTCTGCAGACACCCAAGCTAAATTTACAAATAGATTTATGTTTTGAAAATCTTCTAAAAACAAAAACGAAATCCTCTTAATATTTGTTTGTAAACCATGAATGCAGAGAAATGGTTCGATCATAAATCTTCATCTCCAAGAAGAGGAAATAAAATATAAAGATTTTAAAAGGTTTTTTCTTAAATTAAATATTATTTCCATTGTTTAGTTTATTTACACTATACGTATCTTTAAACATTCTTTAAACAATTTTCTTTATAAATAATGTTAGGGATCATCTTTTTTTTCAAATAGCTACTTAAAAATTGTTTTTATACATTTAATTATGTAACTTTTGATTTTTAATTGAAGGAGTGTCAGGTCCGATTCACGACGCGACGGTGTCCTTAAACGTTTTATGAATAAGATTTCCATTTTTTTTTTAAAGCTGATTATTTTCATTGTGGTTTCTTCAAAAGTAAGAGAAAATCAAACCCAGAACGACGGTTATATTCTTCCATATTCTTAATCAGAAAAAAATGTTACGGGTACTGTTGTGAATCGGTCATATCTTTTATGATTATTTACAACTAATGTACAGGGAAGTTAAGGGATTTTAAATTCCCGAAAGTGCACAATTTTATCTTTAGAAATGAAAATGCACGAATTTGTTCATGAACAATTTTCATACTGGGTGATTATTTTACTCAATTGTCCCAAGGGACGTTAAGTAACATAACCTTCCTCTGTTAAGAGAATAATGGGTCAGCAATGTTAAAAAAAAGACGGTAAATATTGTAAATTTTGTAAATATTGTACTGATTCTAGGTTTTTGATGATGAACAGATATTATTTGGAGGAAGAATTAGCGAAGGAGGTTTCTCCGGAGAAAATAGAGAAAATTCAAGCAAGAATACAAAACAAAATAAAGTAATTTAAAAATATTCAAGTTTCATTGAGGATAAAAATGGAGATGAACAGGCTAAAATGGGGCAGGGGGGGGCAAGTCTTTTTTTTTGACTTGACACAAGACTACTTAAAAACGTGGGGGATAACAGATTACACGCCTGAAAAGGGGGACGGGGAGCAGGATACCCAAACATTTTAATGGTTATATCTTATATTCCAAGATATTTGATGAAATTTGATATTTTTGGGAAAATTGAGGGTCTTGGGGAGTTGTTCATTCTTGCTGGGAATTTAAAATTTTCTAATTCATATATCTTTGCAACCTAATTGTGTAAACCTTTGATATCTTAGTCATAGTGTTTTTTATCTAGCAGAAATAATTGTATAAAATATAAAAGTTCTACGACATGGGGTTAGATAATTAGAGTTTGTGGCAAAAAGTCAGTTCCTTTATTAGTTAAAATCAAGTCAAAGGAATTACTGAAAATAAAGAAAATTTTAATAATTTTTTTCATGTTCTTTTTGACCCCCC